ACAAATCTCGATGACTTTTGGTTTAGTAACAAAAAAAACATTTAATGTATACAGTACTCTCAATACAAATGTTGATGACTTTTGGTTAGTAACAAACAAAACATTTAATGTATACAGTACTCTCAATACAAATCTTGATGACTTTTGGTTAGTAACAAAAAAACATTTAATGTATACAAGTACTCCCAATACAAATGTTGATGACTTTTGGTTAGTAACAAAAAACATTTAATGTATACAGTACTCTCAGTACAAATCTTGATGACTTTTGGTTAGTAACAAACAAAACATTTAATGTATACAGTACTCTCAATACAAATCTCGATGACTTTTGGTTAGTAACAAAACAATTCCTCTCTAAACAATCGCTGGCAGGTTTCCAGAATGAAAGAAATATCATAATGACATATTAAATCACTTTATAACAAAAAGTATTCATGTTTTTGACTGAATTTGAAAATTTAATGCCCCCATGTTGTTAAAAATTTCCGCGCTCACCTGCAATTCCATTAGCGGATTCTCCCATTTCTTGCAACGGTCTTGTATCGAGTAGTCAGAAACATTGTGAGCTTTAAGAAGGTTATTTACACAGGTAAGTCCTTTACCGCTCTGATGAACTGGTACAACAACGCCAAGTCTTCTTCTCGCGCCGTCTACTGCGTTTAGCTCCTTACGCCTAATTGCTTACTCAGCGAAGAATTATCCGCACAGATAGAGTTAATGGAGTTGCTCATCTGCTTATTTTCACATTTACTGGTTACTGACTGGTCTGCTGGTTCGGTGAACGACTACAATTTGAGAATTGACATGAGTAGAGGAGATAGGTCCAGTGTAATGACCACCAAACTGTCGAGTTATTTCTCTGACAAAAAATAAAAATATATGCACATGGGACATGTTAAATTACAAAAATAAAGCGCCATCTTTGTTTAAGAACAAACACTAAGACTTCATTAACGAAGTCCCCGGTTGGACAGCGGTGAGTTTACGAATTAATAATGTAAAATCCTGGGTTAGATTTTCCGCGGTGGATACAGTAGACAGTCAAATGTGGTTTTGCTCTAAACAAACAAACGCTAAAGAAAAATAAAACCAAAATTAGTTTATTTTTACTAAATTTGTACTCATTAAGATAGCTTACTTTCAGACCACACAAAACTTATAACTTACCACTTAAAAAAAAATACAATTAAGAAAGGAACATAAAATAATTACTTAAACAACATAGATGTCTTTATGTAATTTTTCTATGTCCACTTTTGCTGGTTTTTTTTGCTTTATTTATCCTAAAGAATTATGAGATACCTCAAGAAATTTGACTATTAATCATAACTTTGTCAAATAATACTTTTCTGTTTCTCTCTATTTCTTGTATCGGTGTTTTAACTATGTATCTGTCTCTCTCTCTTGAATTTTTGAAAAGATTTATTACAGCCTTGGAAGAGTCCATACAGTAAGGTATCTGTCCAAGCTTACGCATCTGTGAGTATCTGAAAACTTCCGAAATAATTCGAGAGAAAACTAAAATAAGTAGAAGGAATTCCTCATCAAATAGTTGTGGAAGAAAGAAAATAAAAAGAAACGTCTGGTGAATATGATGGTCAGTAAGACATAATAAAACTAACTCTTTACGTGATTAAACCTGGTACTAGGATGTTTATTGGTTTAGATACAACTGGCTCTTCACGTGATCAATCCTGGTACCAGGATGTTTATTAGTTTAGATACAACTGGCTCTTCACGTGATCAATCCTGGTACCAGGATGTTTATTGGTTTAGATACAACTGGCTCTTCACGTGATCGATC